TATACAGCAGATAAAACAGTTTAGCCCCACTTTGCCCGCTATGCTGCTGGAAGAATGAATTAAACAATTCCTGTCGTCGCCAACAAGCAGAAGTAATAAAACGAGAAAATGTGTCGAGCTTGAAACTCTTGGTGTTATTAGAGGAGAAAGTCGTCGTCCAAGTTGCTCCTCGGTCGTCGCACATATGCCGGACTAATGCTCTGCCTTTTGAAACTCTGAAACTGAAACTTGAGAGAAACAAGTACCTTTAAATGATAGACCGACCGACGTATCTGTGCAATGAACAATCTTTAAGCATGCCGAGAGAAAGGAGAAGGATGAAGAAAACTCTCTGCTGCGTAATATGTATGTCTGCTCCACTGTATGTACGTTCGTATGTATATCTGGTCAACGTCCTGGTGATTTCAACTCACTTAAAGTTGAGTTTATGTCAAGTCAAGTGAAATGAAGTGAGGAATATGGAGTCCACATTGCCAGAATTGTAAGTTCTTATTCTCGGACTCGACGATTCGACTCAGCTTCCGTTCTCTACCACTTGGACGACTGCTTTGCTATGCCAGGGTCACTGGAAGCAACGACAACATTAAACATTTAATGCATATGCTCCAAGCTCATAAGAAGACAGAGCAGGAATTCATTTCGGAATATTAAGTTAAACTTGCCAAACCAAGTTGTAACCGTACAACGCTTGCTTTCACTTTATGAGTTCTCGACTTGCTCCACCCGGCAGCCAACTTGTGATAAAGCCTACACTTACAGATTTATGTAATAAACAACGTGCTCTATTTATTTCATGTTTGGTCTTGCTGGGTCATCAAAATCTCAAACAAAACGTAGATGAAAACCCTAAACTAAAAATTCGCACAATGTACAAAACGTCGTAGGGTTGGCACATGTCATAATTTTCAATGCCTTGGTATGAGAATGCACAATAAAATAAGTCTTTCTCACAGGACGAGTGACAAAACGGAACAATTAACCCAGGAACATATAATCCTACTTGCGGAATATAATTCTTTGACGATTCTACATAATTCTATTTATTCCCGACTTTGTCTTTTTGTTCTTCTGGTCTTCAATCCAGTTTCCGCCCTCAACTTGAATTCGTTAACTGCTCTCTCTCTCTCTCTCCCACGGGTTTATGATGAAAAGGTGGAAGGAAGTGATTCAGCTGATGATGCATGCAGCACGAGACTTCTAACCTTGCTGCCTCCATCGCGGTGTTGGCGAGGAAGAGGAAGCAGTCTCCGCAGAAAAGAAGTCGCTCATTCAGCAAATTTTGAGTGAAAGTTAAACTTGGGTCCCATTTGTATGTATGCCTATCCATGGATAGGCATCTGCTTAAGGCAGGATGTGTGATTTTACTTTACGTGGAATTGCCAGATTCGGATCAAAGTAATGGGAACAGTCCCAGCGGACTTCCTCCACATCTGTATGCACATTAAGCGTCTCTTACTCTGTCTTTCTAGTTATTTAACTAAAACTAAACCCATTACCTACAGACCTTCTCCACACAACCTCAACTTGAAAGCTGCTCTTCTCATTTTATTCCAACCAGATTCCAAAAGTCAAGACGCAAGACTGTAAAAGTCACTTCATTGGCCGATAATGCACAGCACAACGCCGACCCGTGTACATACATACATATGCGTTCTCCTGGCTCCCTCAATTTTAATCAAAGTACTCCATGTGACCCACTTGAGTCAACGAGAATTCTTTCTACCCGCTATCTTTGCCAACTTGAGGGACTCCAACTTGCAATAACATATTTCTGAGAGTGGGACCAGGTTTTGCTTTAATTTTGTAGAATTGAGCACATGTTAAAGACGAAATGTGTAAAAAAAAGTTTCCAGGAAAGTCGTCGAGTTGGAAACAATACTATTTTGATTTTAGCGCATTGTTGTGCAAAAGTAAATAAGACAGTGGAAAAAGCACACTCCCACTGCTGCTGTGTGTACAAAAAGGATAACAAACTTTTGGGTTTGGGCAACTTAAAGAGCACGAGGAGGAAATGAAATCTGGGTTTGGACCACAAGGTACGAAGACATAAGTGAGTTTTGCTCTTTGGGTCATTTTGCGAACCATTGTTTCATTTGGACAGAGAAATAGAAAAACAAAAAGAAATTGGAGAAAGGCTGAAGCCGAATCAAGTTTAGCCAATGTCCTAACTTTCAAGGAAACAAAGCCACAAACAGGACAGAGAAAGGGACACAGCACACAAGTAAATGGAGATAAAATGAATGAAAAATAAAAGAAATGAAAAGGCTGGAATCAACTCAATGGAGAAAGAGCGAAGAGTTAGTCAAGGAATCAAAGCAAAAGAGCAACGGGGAAAGAATACAAGTTCGAGAGGCAGAGAAAGCTGGGGGGAGATAGGTCCGAGGGAGAGAAGAGAAAGAAGGAACTTGAAGGACAGATGCAGAGGCGACACAAACAACCAAGAAAAGAATATCCTCCAAAAAACAGGACATGAACATGGGACAACAAAACAAGAAAGAGAAAGGATTTAAAAAGAAACTGAAATCCAGAGAAAACAACAAGCTCTGTTAAACTCTATATACTAAAAAGACCAGTCAAACCAACACCGGTGGACATACAGACAGGCAGGTTTCTTTTGGATTATTACTCCTACAGTAAAAACCCCTTCCATTCTAGAAAGAAAGCGGATTTCAGTTCAGGCGGCTAAATCATTAAACATAAAATCCTGTTGATGGAATGTTTTAATTTGCGTATTTCTCTTTCATTGTTTTGCTAACTAACATATATTTGGATTATACGCAAGTAGCACGGAAATTTCATACCAAATATTTAACTTCGAGCTTAATTAGAATTCAATTAGATATCGTGTTCATGCCATTTCGTGATAAACGGTGGATGCGCAAAATTATTCACAAGTGTACTCACTCGCAGCGTGCATAAAACTCATATCCGCTCTGTTACGTATGGCCATGCATCACAAAAACATGTTATGTAACGAAACTCATCCTGTGCCTGTTTCAACGTAAGAACAACAAAGCAAAGCAGCATAACCACTAATATATATTTATGGGTATACACATGTGTTTACCTTATTTATTTATATCTGTGTAATGTTGGCCTACATATATTTACGTAACTTGTGAGCAGAGTGTAAGGTTAAGCAAGTGAAGTTGCTGATGGTGGTGTCACCACACACTTTCCCGAAATTATTTGCTTTGGTGAAATTTAGGAAAGAGAGAGCCGAGGAGCGAAAGGCGAAGAAAAAGCAGTAAGGACAGAGAGCAGAGTAATAGATCAAAGGGGTGAACATACATGAATCATTTTTACTTTTTATCCCCATCATATCGTCCCAACACCCAGTCCACTTTTAGCCAACACTTGCACTCTTTGCCCCTCTTTGTGCTCAACTTTGTTCGCTCGCAATACTTTTTTTTATATTTGCACAACAATGGAAGAAATAACGAGAAAGTATTCCGATGCGAGGAACTTGCAGAAATAAAATGACTCGAATTATGGTACGATGCAGAAAACGGTAGGAACAAGAAATCATTTTTGACAAATATGAGGATTTGTAAAAAAACGAAACAAAATAAATTGATTGGAACTTGGAGGAGAAGGAGGACCAGAAAAATCAACCTGGAGGGTTTGGCAGAATCAATCCTCTTTCGAGATGGTGCAGTATGTCGCAGAATTAATCCCAACAAAATAAAGTACGGAACCAATCGAAGAGGAGTCGTCCACCTATCCTGCCTTTCTGCTTGTATTTAAGCCCACAGTTTTTTTAATCTGCTACTATAACGAAGACTGGAAGGAATTAATGATGAAATTTGGACGAAAATTCGTGTTCTATATATAAGAAGAGGTTGCCGAATAAGAAACGATCTTTTAAATTGTTATCTTAAATTGTTGGTTGCCGGAAACTCGCTTGCTTGATACAAAATGCAAAGTGTAACGAGTTTCCAATGTTTTGAATGCAGGATGCCCAAATGAGAAAATAAGATTCCATGCATCGCCCACGTATTCGCTGAGTGAAAGTGAAACATTTTATTCGCAGTTCTGAGAGTTGACTTTTAAGCCCCATAAGTGAAACTCAACTCCCATATTCCATTACATTACAGTTTCTCAAGAGTCTCACATCAGATACCACACGACCCGTTTTCTTTCATTTTGTGGTACTTTTGGGATCCTGGTTCCACGGGTTGTTTAATGTTATGTAATGCTCAATATTCGAAACCTCGTTTCTGTTTCATTCCCTTTATCACATTCTGCAAAGATGATGGAAAGATGGAATCACCTATGGTAATATTTACTAACAACTCCATTACCATTATGCAGGATAACTTACTTAGTCAGTGCAGGCATGTACCATAAATATGAATAAGCCACCAAACTTATGTATGTGCATGCATACACCTGCAGCTAGCTGTAAAAGTTATCATCCACAACAACTACTGATGGAAAGGCAGAATGCAGTCGAAGGAGAACTGCACATTTTTCCAGGACTATCTTCTTTGTGTATTTTTAGTTTTGGAGCAAGGCTGGACGGAGAGCTCATTCTTTATGCATTTGTTTATCGCGAGTCTAGAGTGTTGAAATAGTATGGAGCGTATCACATGAGTACCGAATTTCGTAATTTGGATGAAAAGGGAAAAGTTTGTAAACTTGTTACCAGAAAGCAAGCATTTTTCCTTGCTTGCTGGTCATCAGACAATTTGGCATAGTATTTTTTTTCAATAAGCACCATGTTGAGAATGCGGATCAAGCTATGAAAAATCTTTACGAATTGTATGAGATTATTAATACGTAATTATTTATTCTACCGATGAGAAGAAAGTTCCAATGACCTTCTCTTCCGAAATTCCAGCCGATTGATAAATGTTATCCTCCTTGAATATTATTCTATTCTAGGGTTACTTTATATAAGCAAGGATGCATTTTATAACTGTTCAAACAATCACTGTTACTATTACCAGACAGATTAAGTACTTAAATTATTATTATATAATAAATCGGTCAATTACCTCCTTCCACGAGACAGTGCAGAGTAAGAGCGGAACCTTCCGTGTAAGGACCTGAATGACGATGGACAAAAACAATTTATACAATCAGTAAGTAAATATTTATAGAAAGCATTCATTGAAGCAGAATTTATATAGGCAATTAATGATGATTTTCGTAAATAAGTGTATAAATTGTTGACTATTTGGTATAAGCAGGATGGAACTCAACTCCACTTGTTCAAATAAAGAATGCAATGTAATGACCATCAGAAATAATAGTTGACCTACCCACAAAGATTGTACGCTCCGACCCAGTTTCATCCACTATCACCGGGTCCTTTGGGGGAACTGGAATATAAAAAATGAACACAATAATTTTCAGACTTTTCTTTTCATACATTCGTATTTCACAGAGTTAGTTTCCTCTCTCGGGTGTTCATGTGTGTGTTACGTTCATTATAATATTTTGTCATTAGGAACAAAATAAATACATGGACAATAATGCATTTCTGGTTTCGCAAAAAAATGTTTAAGATGGAAAAACCTTGTTCACAAAACTTTCGCGGTGTATCATTCATGCGTTATCATTTTTGTGGTTAAAAATAAACCACTGCACTGATAATGTCATTAATTATCGTGATTAATTAGACACATTTTTTTACTTCATTTAATTAGTAATTAATTATGTATTCTATATTATTGTGAGAAATAAATAGATATGTGAGCACAAACCAGTCATTTAATTTTTCTTGCATTATATGACTGCTCAACATTTGCAACATTTTCAACTATGTTCAAGTTTCTACTTAGGACGAGACAGTATTAAAATGCATCATAAATTATGACAATAAATTTATTTGCAAATCATAACTAGCAGCAGCACATGTTGTTCATACTAATGAAGATTTGCAGCATACTAAACAAGCAACTTCTTGCGAATGGAGATGGAGTAAGCACCCCAAGCAGCACAGATGTCTAGGTGTGTGTGATAAGACCTAATAGAGTGGGGCAAAATAGGCAGTTTGAATTTATTACGATGATTATTATGAAAATGGCGATACTTCTTGCTTTATAGCATGAAAGGTAAGATGCAAAAGAGAAAGCACTTGCTGTGGAGGAGAGCAGCGTAATACATTTAAATTCAGAACCCGGACTGACGCTGAATATTCAGTACCCAAGATGAAGTTTATTATTGTCTGCTGTTATTGTCGTGTACGTACTTGGCAGGATTGGAATTGCCCTTAAGAAATATAAGGTTGCCAGTAAATGAGGTGTTGGTTATGCTCTGGACGAGGAGTTTAAACAACCATAAAGCTGCATTACAACGTGCGCTATAGTTGGTTTTACAACACTTATTGCTTGCTCCTTAAATGAAGAAGGTATTAAGTTGTGTTTTACAATAAGATTATGGACGTACATATGTATGATGTTTCATGTAACATGCTGCTTTCTTCATGGCATCCTCCATTGGGTCGGAATGAAATAGTTTGAATTCAGGCATGCGACACTAGAGATAAGACACAAACATCTCGAGCGTTTTTGTAGGCGTGGGGCGGTGGTGGTGGTGGCGCTGAAAATGGTATTGGTGGACTACAACAACTACATATCTGCATGTATACACACGTAGAGTAAATTATGGCTGGGACGAAAACAAGTTCAACTCACTCAAGAGAAATCGCATCTGAAGCGGAGAGTGGGAGAAAGTAACTGGTGGAACATTATGCAAGCACTTCTTTGCGCGTTTAAGTACTTTCTCGCCCCGTTGTGTCTGATTTGGTTGCGATGGATTCTCAAGTTTTACAGCCAACAAGAACCACCACCGTCTACTAAATACGTACTTCTACGTTGGTGCTGCTGAACTAGATACAGATTCACACAACCATACTAAATAAACATGGATGGAGTGAAAGTGTAATGTAATTCTAAGTAAGAAGGAGGGAAATCTGGAGATGGAGGAGTGAAATCAGGAGCGTCTTCCACCAAGAGAATTTGATCAATAAAATAGGGAGAGCATAAAGACCATTCCTTCCAAGACATTGACTCTGGACTCTGAATATTCGACGTCTTTTAAGCGTCGAAAACACAGTATTAAGCGAATCCTTGATTTCGTTGAATTTGATGGATTGCTGTAGATAAATGTTGCATGAATAAAATGATTGAACGCTTTAGTTCCCTGGAGAAGGAAGGTATGCACCAAAGTAAGGAAGACTTGTGGTTAACTTACATCACTCCAAAATAGGAAGAAGCAAGGACGCAGAGAAGCCGAGCCATTTCGAGTCATTATTGTCAGGCGTGAAACACCTTGCCAAGAAACAAACGAAACACACAACAATGCCAAGAAATGATTATTAAGCATGTTCCGTCGCAATCCTGTTGGACGTTCCCAGATCTGTAACTGCAATTTCTTGTAAATTTTGAGTATTCCAAGATTTGATATATTGGACGGAGCGTCTGAGGAGTAACACTTGTGCCAAATTTTGAAACAAAGTTCCAAGAAAAGTATGAATTTGAGTGAACAAGAAACTGCTAATTAGTCTTTTGTAGTTCTTTATTAGGATAATAATGACAATCTTTTTCTAATGCGAACAATCCAACTGTTCATCTGCAGAATTCGTGTGTATATATTTCGCTGAATGGAGAAAGCAACAGTTAAATTTATAAACTCGGAGCTATAAACTAGAGAATAAAGTTTTCTCTGAGCCGTGTTGTGGTTGGATTAGGTCCATATAACGTGACTAACAATAAGGAACTGGGTCGTAGGTCGCCATTATGTGAAATACTATGCTATAGTATGTAAAGTAATGCCTTCCGTAAATCTTGAGTCTCGGGCAGAACCCATTTCATGGCAAAAGAAAAACCACCACATTTCGTCTTATCTGCGACCATGCTCTGCAGTTGTTGTTGTTGCTCATGTTCAACTAATACTGGGCGAAGAAAACATGCAAATTTGAACTAAGCTTAACGATGTGACGCTTGGTCGTGGTATAACACAAAATTATGTGATGTTTCTTTATATCTTGCTCTCGTATCTTTGTACATGCTCTGTTTCTCTGCTTGAACAAGTTAAGATAAACTGCTCTATTTCATGCACTGAGGTTCCCTGGTGTCCAAATTTAGTTTGAAATTTAGGGTCTCCCCGAATGCGGTGCTGCGTCTTCTGGGGGGAGCCTACCACGATCGGATGAAAACCTATATACAGCGAGGCGCGTAATGGTAAAATTAATCCCATAATTGCCACTTGCTAAAAAAATACTAAGCTATGTGTGCTTTAAGGCTATTATTTTGTATGCATACATAATAAACCTCTTGCCTCGCTTTAAACGTAACGTTCGTTTGTAGATAAAACTGGGGCAAGTTATCTTTACATAATTTAAATGTTCATAGTCTAAATATTACAAATGTAAATCGCAAGTTGGAGTTCCGTGAGAACTGGATGGGATGAAATGCAACAACAAAGGGGAACAGGGAATGGTTCTGCAACAATCATTACTGAAAGAAAGTTCATAGTTTTATTATTATGATCATGATACTACTTTCCGGAAGACTTTGCGAGTTTTCGCAATTTTGCTCAAGAACCAAAGTTTTCGGGACATTGCAAGAAATGTAGATTCCGGAATTTTTATTTGCGCCACTTTCTCGACAAGTTCATCTCATTCTTATCAGTACATCTGCACCATGCGATATCTTTGTAAAAGACAATTGACCCTGCCTCCAAATTGGCATTCTCTTCGCAGTTTTCTATAGATATGGATGCCATTAAATCTAATATTTATAGGAATGTCTCGTTCGCCAATGATTAATGAGCAATGCCTGGTGGCCACATTTCTTTTATACAAGGACAGAATATGAAATATGTTGCTCATGTTCCTCTCACATCCGCCGTGCTACACAATGCAGGTCAAAGGACTCATAAAGTCTGTATCTTAAAAATATTTATGTCAACAACTCGTGTTTTCAGGTACTTAGCTTGAGATGGCCCGTTCTCTAGTGTGGCATTAAATGCAACAACGGAACATTTCTTTGCAATTTGGCGCAAATATTAATGACGGCATGTCATATTCATGCAACACAGGCAGAGTCAATCGTTGTTTCTGCTAATTACCAAAAGAAATGCATCGTATAAGGCCAAGAGCAAATATTGTTGGGCGGAGTTGCATTCAAAACGCTGTTTGAAAATGATTAATTATAATTTCTGTGGATCAGCATCAACTTGTCACTCAAAGCAGTTTCAAAACATAACGTTGCAGAGAAAGAAAGACTCGAACTGTAAAATTAGATGGGATGAAGCATCAGCCGTTTTCAAACCATGCCAGGTTTCTCCGTCATCATCCATTAGAAAATGTGTAGGAGGAGGAACTAGCAATCTTTTTGTTCGCTTTTCAACCACTAATTAATGGAGGATCGGGATGGGGGAGAGACGCCAAAATTAATCATGCTTTTTCTTATTTTTGATAAGGATAGGTACTGCATTAGACATTGCGTTGCATTGAAAGTGAAAGTGCCTCATTGGTGACATACCTTATACCACACAATGCATACGCATATGTACGTACTTGGCCTGTTTAACTTGAAGCTTGTTTTGATTAGCTAATACAAAGTACAACGCATGATGGGTGGGATTATGTAACGTGGCTGTAAAATGGCTTGGGTGGATTAGGGTAAGCGCTGCACGATTATTTGCTTTCACTTTCAGGATCTTCTAACAACAGTGTTAACTCAACCTCGAAAGAATGGTCTGTCACATGCTCGCGTACACTGTGTCTACTCGCACAATGTTTTCGACAGAGTGGATTTGCTTCAAATTTCAACCCTTGTTGACATTAATTATTGGGCGTCGCACTGTTCGCCTTAGGAAAAATTGTTTAAACTGAATTATAAATATTGCAGGGTATGGCGAAAAAGTTATTTACACGGCATTGAAATATTTACAAGAATTTGAGGTGCCAAAGGATCGAAACTAAATTGATACAGCGACACTAGACTCAGTGTTTTGCAGGGTGTGCAGGCACATGATGAAAAAGTGCTCCGTTTATTCAGTTGGTTGAGTTTGGCTACTTGTGTGAGTTTGCTTCAGAGCAGCCATCCAAAGTTGTGTGGTTGGATTGATGGGAAATCTTTTAAGACCATGAAGATTAAGTATAATGTGATTAGGTCTGCTTTGCTAGGAGTTGCCAACCGCTACTGACTCCCACTCTCGCCACCCACCACGAGCCAACGTAGGAACGCAACAACCCTTGCTAACTACTTCTAGTCAACAAAACGACCAGAAACCAATCCATTGCTTTCCTGTCTGCCCTCGCCCTGCTGTCTGCTGATCCACAGAAGATCCATCTGCAATCAATACACAC